TTTTTCACATTATATAACCAAATCAATTGTTGTTCCATCAAAGTAACACCTTTGGATGTGCAAATGCAGATTTCTGACATAAATTGGAAGACTGAGAAAGGAATATTGTTCCTAGAGGAGTTCAGGTAATGGATACATGTCACCTAATTTTTTCTTGGAAAATTGGGTTCTTGACCTTCAGTTAGATAGTCTTAAGTGGTACCTAAGCATGTTATGTTCTTCTGACACCTTCTTCCACCTGCTTTGCAGTTGAGGAGTTGCAGACCCGTGGCTAGGGCCTGGGAAGGCTTATTATAGTGGCTGCCTGTACTCATCATGTCACAGCACCATCAAAGGATATATGTGGCTTTTCAGGAGGGAACGCATTGCCATCTTTACCACATCCTGGTGGTGCTGCCACTACTTGGTCTGCAGCTGCTTATTCATCAGAGTTACCCCTGCTAATTTCACAGGTAACCTTCCCTGAAGGTCATTCCACTATCTGCCACCTGTGGACATGGTGGGTAGCAGAGGCTGCAGTGAAGCATGATCCCCAGTTGTCTTGGTCTCCTTGCCATTGGATCAAGAACCTGTTCTGTCAGTCATGTGGAAACAGATGTGCAGCAGCTTCTCCATGATAAAAGAAGTTGTGCATATGTGTCTTCCATAAAAACAACTTTTCCAGCACATTCCTCAAGCCCTTTGGTGACCAGCTGATGGCAATGGGAGCAGGATTGTGAAGTCTGGAAACTCCTAGTCATCAACTGGCATGAAAGCAGCAGTTACAAGAAGGTCATCTAGCACTAAGATGAGACAGGAGTGCGATTCAGCAGCTATAACTGTAACTGAGCAGCTTTCTTCAGGATTCTCTCTGCTCACCCCACATAGGGAGGGGGTTAGAAAAGGATCCCTAAATGTAGCCTGCCTAATACAGTATTCTGTATTTCCTTCTGACTGCATAACCATGTCCTGTGGGTTCATAGTTTCATAGGTTCTAGGGTTGGAAGGGACCTGAGAAGATCATCTAGTCCAACCTCCTGCCATGGCAGGAAAGAGTACTGGGGTTAAATGACCCCAGCAAGGTGTTCATCTAACCTCTTCTTAAAAACCCCCAGGATAGGAGCCTGCACCACCTCCCTTGGAAGTTGGTTCCAGACCCTAGCCGCCCTGACCGTGAAATAACGCCTTCTGATGTCTAACCTAAACCTACCCTCTGCCAGCTTGTGACCATTGTTCCTGGTCACTCCTGGCTGTGCTTGGGGGAACAGTGACTCCCCCAATGCCTTCTGATCCCCCCTGACCAGTTTGTCACTTTTACTACAATCAAAAATACCAGCGAAGGTGCACCATCGTTTTTGGGATTTGGAACATCAAGACCCTCATGGACAGCCATAATAATGAACTCCCAAAGCACCACACTGCAATTGTGGCCGGAGAACTTAGGCAACACACCATCAATGAGTGAGGCCTGGCAAGTGGGAGGTGGGCAGCTCAAAGAACACGGAGGCAGCTATACCACCTTCTGGAAAAGTAAACAGGAAGAAGAATGCTGACTTCATGGAGTTGGTTTTGCCATTAAGAAAGAACTCATAAACCAATTCAGTGAGTTCCCTATCAGAATGAATGAGTGCCTTATGAGTCTCCATCTTAAACTGGAGGGGAGCCAACTCCAATGGCATCCTCCTCTTGACCAAATGTGCGGAACAAGGACTCAATGTCACCAACACCCCATCACCAACACACCTGTATGCCGTGCTGCTAATTTGCAGTGTGGTAGGTTTTATAGAAACCAGAAGAAACTGGTGTAAAAAAAAAAATTGCTAAAAAAAGCAGCACAGTGTACATGGCAGCAGTGTGGACCACCAGAAACTGGAGCCTGGCCAGCCAGAGCCACATTCTGGCTGCCGGCTAGGCTCTGAGCAGCTGCTTTGGTGCTGATGCTGCTGCCCCAGGAGACCCCTGCTGGGGTTGATGTGTGGTTTGCAGTGCCTCAGTTAGCTTTACAATGCCACAAACCACATGTGCACACTCGTGGGGATATGCCCCTAAAGCAGGGGCAGGCAATTATTTTGGCAGGAGGGCCCCTTACTGAGTTTTGGCAATCTGGAGGTCCTCATGGGTAGCTTTGTCCTTTAACAGGTGCCCTGCCCCCTGGTTGCCATCTTTGGCCTGGAAGTCCCACCCCCTAACCTCTGTCCATTGCCACCAGAAGTCCCTCCCCTTGCCTCCAGAAGTACCCCTTTCAGCAAGGGTTTTTGCCATCTTGGAACCAGAAAAA